AGAGTAGCTCAGTGGGTCCTCGATGCGGATCGGGGGATCGAACTTGGGCACCCACTTTACACCTCGTTTTCTGATACACTGTGTCACTAAACGCTGCGCTGTTCCTAATGACTGAGTTTTTGAAATGTTTTTGGGTTCTTTTCGGTTATCCGGGGACAACTGAAGATCCGATCTCATTTGCTGGACAAGGATTTTTCAAAGGGGTGTTAGTAATCATTCGAAGCCGTGAAAATCTGGCTGGAGCGCTACATGGCCGTTTTGCGAAACGACCTTTTTACAACGCTGTAATCCGAAATAAAATTATACTTTACATCGGTCACGCGCCTTCATTTTTATCACGCCTATAGTTCGTTGGTGGAAGCAGGAAAACATATGTGTGGAGAATGTCTCGTAGTATTTGAGTCAATCGTTTCATATGGAGTTTCTTTCAAAGCGGAGAAAAAAATTCCCATTTGAAAACAAGATCCACCTCACATGTCTGCCGCGTCAGGGTCAGATCGATTGATCGCCCGGCTCTCCAGCCCCTGGGTTAGCCGCTAAACAAGTTCGCCGAATAGGTGAAAAACGATCGTACTTCTTCTGCTACACTTCAGTGAAACGCTCATTCCAGAAAATAAGCGCAACGTTGGAAGTATTGAAACATACGCTATCGATTGATTACCAATATCCTAAAGAAAGAGTTGTTTCCGGCGAGGTGTAAAACACAAATTTTTTTCTCCTCCTACAGCGCTATCAAAAAGCATTTCTAAAAAGGCAGACACATTTTGAGTTCTTCGAGACTTGTGCTATCAAAAGAGTACTAGCAGTCTAAGGAACTCCAGGAAGGAGTTTTGTCCAGTGTGTGTTATATATTGTATTATCTATTGTGCCGTATAGTATATTTGCAAGCAAGATAAATAAAAATGCGTCGTCGTGTGAAACATAAATTCATTCCGCATTTTATAACGTTAGAAAAAGGTATTTTAAAAGGCCGATCACGTACCGCGCCAGCCAAAGATTTGATCTTTCGAGTGATTGCTGACACTACTATGAAAAGTTCTTGTCCAGCGTATGAGGTCGTGTAATTATTTGCTCCCGGATAACCGGCAAGAGCCTCTTTATGTATGTTTCTTTGCGGAAGGTGGCATAATTGATATCGCCAAAGGCCCGCGATTTTCGTTTTTTGACAAAGAGTTTTCTCTTAACCCCGGGAAGTATTTCAGGTTCATTGTACCACTGATAGAATATGATATTCTTTACAAGTCTGTGTAGTTTTTGTGCATATATAACTACTTAGTCAAAAGAAAAGTTTGAGTGCGAGATGCAAACTTATTTCGCTCCACGGTGCGGTTTGAAAAGGTTTTTTGAAAACCAGTTTGAACTTCAAATTCATCGAGATTTTAACTGCCGATTGAGCCTAGTGTGGTCCAATAAAAAACGATCCACACACTTTTAATTGAGCAAATAGGAAAAACCGAGTGAAAAATATAATCTTTATTCTGCTTCTACAGCCTGCCACAATGGCCTTTTTGTGAAGCAAGTAAAGTGCCGGGAGTTCCTGAGATTTGAGCTTTCGAATGATTACTTGGATTCCGCATAAAAAGTTTTGTTTAGCAAAGGAGACCTCCGAAAGTTTGAGGTTTAAGATGACCCTTATCGTCCACAGAGTGACAACTAACTAGTTGATTGTGGTTTTTCGATGTTGTTGAATTTTGTATGGAGGTTTTTTGTTTGCTTGAGAACCCGATGAATACTTTGCAAAACGGAGTTTGCGTCATCTGGAGGGAGATGTGCATCTTCGTTATCGTAGTTTCGATAATCAAGCTGATTTTGAGACGGAGATGTGCAAGGTCAATCCTCATAAGCACGACATCGGAGCCGTCTATTCGCATAAGGTCAGCGCTTCTTGACTTCCTTTCTCTTCCATTGAGATAGGATCTAACTTTCTCCAAATCCCGAAAATCTGCTGACTTTAGTCAGAGAGGATATTTCGAGCCATTTCGAGCTTTGTACGTAGTGACTTGCGTACGTTTCGGTGGTCTGACTTGCCTCATCGGAGCTACACGAACCTCAGGTCCCCTACTGATAGTAGGGATGACGAAACGTTGATACGGTGAAACAACGTCGAATCCGGTTTCCATGTTCTCACCATTCTTTTCCAGCTACTGGCATAGGGCTATTGAAAGCGTTAAAAACACAATTTAACCTTGTATCGGCGTAACAACGTTTCCTCATACCTATTATATGCAGTCGTATGTGTAGTACATATGGCTCATGAGGCGGCGAGACCGCCGAAGTCTACGTATACTAAGAACGTATCGATCTCAAATTGGTTCAACCGTTACGGTACCGCGGACCCAACTCCCTTCGAGTCTAACTTCCCAAGCTATTGCGTCTAACATTAGAGCGTGTGGCGTGTGAACATGGCGTCTGACGCCAGCGTGCCATTTTAGGACGCAATACAATGGGAGGAGGACAAGGGGTAGGGGAGAGTTGGACTCCCAGAGGGTTCGTGGTCCCGTGAAGGTTAAAACATTTTCCCTGGCTATATTGATTGAAATATTTATAACAAGGTTTTCGAGAAACCAGTCGAATGTATAATGCATTTTCTACTTTCTTTTGCAGCCCAAGGATTATAAGAGACATTCGGATTTCAACGCCATTGAGAGAGAGCTCGCTTTTGACATTGATCTAACCGACTACGATGGTGTTCGGCGGTGCTGTTCGTGAGTTCCCCGCATTTTTCTTGTATGCACGGCTCTGGTCTTCAATTAGAGTTTCTAAGCTTTTTATTTGTAGTTTTAAAAATCCCAAGATTGCCTATCTATAAGCCTCGACATTGTTCAATAATTTACAATCATTCTTCGTACACCAAATCACAAAGCTCCTGTAATAAAAGTCATTTGAACAGGTGACGTTTTGACAGTTTCACCTTATTCAGAAGTTCAAAAGATCAAGTTGCCCACAACCCAATCAGCCAAACCCTTTGTTCTGTTGAAATGATGGAGGTGTTTGGCTGACTGTACGCGATCTCTCCAAGCTGCCGAAACATGAGCTGTTCTATTATAACTTATCATGACAGCCTTGTGATTTTCCTTACGAAGGGGAGACTGAGCTGTAGTTTAGAAGATTTTAGAGAAGCAACGGTATGTGAGAGATGTTGGCCTTTCATTTCGGTTGCCGTTTAGGTACTCGATAAACTGTTAGAAGATGGATGATTCCATTTGTATCACCTAAATCCAACGTTCATCAACCCTTGCGGGATCGCGGATCCACGGCCCCTGCGTCTCCAACTTTCGACGTGTTGGCGCTTGCCATTCTTAGATGCAACGTATTGAAAGATTAGAGGCGCAGAGACCGCGAGTCCGCGCTCCCGCAAGGTTAACGAAAGCCTCATAATCTATTTTTGTTTCAGAGCATTTTGCATTCAAAGCACGGATGTGGGTGTTTTCTGGTCGACGTGCTGTACATTGTTGGATTGGTGAAGAGAAAGCGAGAAAGTTAACAAACGCTGGACGCTCGGCCGTCGCTGAATATCCTTCTCTATCTGTGGTGACTTCATAGTGGATTCATTTTGTATCCATTAATGTTTGGTGATAAGAAAACTCTAAAGCTAGAGCGAGAGTTCAACCCGCGTCTCATCCTTTTCGGTGTGCCGTACTAACCACTGCACTGCCGGGTTTCCGTTCTACTATCACTTTACGATATGACGTAATGATTCACTTTGCGATTGACGTAATGATCGAAAGAATAGGGATGAGTTTGGTTTCACACACACTTCAGTTTTCCTTATTTTTCGTCTGATATCTTGAATCTTTCGGAGAAGAACCATTTACAGCGACGCTAGTCAATGCGTTGAAATATATTGATCTGTCAATCAGTGATCGCTTCTAACGCGGCGAACTTATTCCTAACTTTTGCATTCTGTACCTTGGTTGATATAGCGAAGTCTCTAAAAAGCGCTCAGGAGCTTCAGACAAGTGTTTTCATAAGACTATATGGGCCTCGTGTGTGTTGAAGACAACACACGCCGTCTCAAAAGGGTTAATGAGCAGCGATCTCATTATTTCAACCGTTCCAACTACGAAAGCGCACCACGTTCTTCATTTACTTTCGAATTTTTATAAAATTTATCATTTTATTTGATCCGCATAGCAGTTTCTTTTTTCAATGTACGCATCGCTGTACTACCAGTTCATTCGCCACCACGCGTTTAGCGCTTGATTGAGGACTTGGCTTATTTACGAACGTCTTGAATAATAATTGAGCACAGCTCCTTGTAATCTCGAGGATAGCCAGGTTGTGGCGTTCGCTATTGATTGACTGCAGTAGAGTGTTGGGGAGGGGGAAAAGGTATTAAACCCGCGTCGAGCGGCGTTGACCATCACTAGATACTAGGCCGTCGAGTGCGCTGAACTGTCCTCTGGAATTTGAGTCACGTTTCATGTAAAAAATGACGTCTTAAACACTTGAGCTCTTGGCGTTAATCGGTTCCCGAGGGATGCGCTATGCATTCTCCTTCATCCAGCGTCTTTAAGGTGAAAGAATACATATATAGTTCTTTGGACTCACGATGGCCTACTGATGTAACATCTCAGTGGTGTTACCTCCCAAATAAGTCTTTTAGCAACTCGGCGAGCTCGCTGGGTATGAAAACCTTGGTGAGCCTTAGGCGCGAGATCGAACTATCGACATTATGTTTGCGCGGGCCTCCGGCTAATCTTTTGTAGATGGATTCTTAGTGAAACTGATATAGATTGATGTACGAAACTTTGTGTCACCCTGAACCCGAACCCTAATTTCACCCTATCCGGGGCGCATGCTCGAACCGTTGCACTACCGACGCCTATTTTCGCACATTTTTGCACTGCAAAAAAGGAATTACAGTTTGATCATCTAGTACTCCATATCTGTCAGAGTGATTGCATTCAATGCCGATAGCAACTACCTGCGCTATACGATGACGGTTGGTTGCTGAGAGATAAATGTTTTGTAACTTAGAAAGAGTGGCGTCAAAACTGGCATCGGTAGTGCAGCGGTTCGAGCACGTGCTCCCGGATAGGGTGAAATTTGGGTTCCATTCCCACCTGTCGCAAAAGTTTTATACATCACTCTAAGTCAATGGGTACATCTTTAACATCATAATACCCCTAGAAGCGGTTTGAATAAAAAAGCAATTCTTGATGAAATTGCTACCGTCTCAGTATCAAGAGCTATTAGGAATTTTCGAGCTCCCACTTGTGATTGTATCAAAGCCATAATCATTCCATAAATGGAAGAAAACTTCTTACGGAAAAATATATGGTCATTCAAAGTGAAAAACTCGACATATATGGCAGCGGGAAAAAGGCTCTGCCCGTCCATCCAATGATTGAGAGTGCATATCGAGTTGCGTTGGACTCTGGAGAAGTCGATAAAATGGTCTGTTTCTATGGATTAGTGAGTTCTTTTCGGTTACAAAATAACAAATTTATATTCGACCTCATTCGCTGTACAAGAACTTTCCATAGGAGTGTTAGTAATCAATGGAAAGATTAAATATCTGGCTAAAGCCCTATGTGATCGGTTTCAAAAGAGACCCTTCTTTAACAGTGTAACTTTCAAAATAAAACTATTTTTTATATCGGCCGCGCTAATCAACTGTTATTTTGCTGGAAGCATGAAAGCGCATGAACGTGTAGAGAAAATCTTTTCATATTAGAACGAAGACGTTGAATCTTGAGTATCGAGAAACAATTTCTAATTGCATAACAAGAAGCGCAATTTCCTATGGCCCGTGGAAGAGCCAGTCTATCGTGTTAAAACGGCCGCATATGCCCTGTGCCGCGCTCCTCGCACCGTAGAAAAAGCCAAAATCCCTTTGCCCGCGTATGTCCATTTGATCTTTTTTCCATGCTGCACTGCAGGAAAACAGTCTTTTCAGAAAAGAAGCACAACACTGAAATCCCTAAATCTTACACTATCGAACGATCACGAATAGTCTACAAAAAGAGTTTTGTCCAGCGAGATATATGTGCATGTACAATGCACTTTTATTTTAAACTTTATAGCGTTATAAAAAAATCTTTTCAAAAATCAGCCACGTAGTGCTAGCTAGAGACTCAGGCTTTTGAATGATTACTGGTACTCCCGTAAAATAATCTTGTACAGAGAATGGGGTCGAATGTTGATTTGTTCCATTATAACCGAAAAGCACCGATTAGTGTTCCGAAGTGCTGCATTATTGTTACACTTCTAGTTAAGCTCTTCACTAGTGTACCACTTTTTGGCTGCCGGGCCATTCGGATGGCCGAACAGCGGCTGGGCGTTCATTTTGCCAACATTATCCTTGCAGAAGTCTCTCCAGCAATAATCCATCATTCAGGAAATAGAGCCCTTTTGGAGACTAAATTATTGGATCTACGCCAATCTTCGTGTAGTCTACGAATGCCGCGCGCGCTCATATATCGTTTTCGGTACGCATCGTAGCGAAAAGATTAAGTATCAGTGCGATTGTGGTTTTCTCATAATGTTTTGTGTTTAGGTTTTGGAACAGGGATGGCTTGAACTCGAACCAGTGCTGTCAATTTTGGAACATTGCGAAGATCCTGAGCTCAGAGTTACGCTTCAGTCCCAGTTTGAAGAGTGGGTGGTAGCATTCCTAATAATGTTATGGTCTACCAGCAAAAGTTGTTTACGGTTATTCACCCTATTTCTATACCTTTATTGCTTAGAGCACGTGTGGCGCAGAGTTAGAGGTGCTCTGCGACACACATGATCGATCAGTCGATGGTCAGTGATTAGATCCCCCATCCAAGGCTCACGATGCCTTCCGTTCCTCCGGGTTCTTTGAATTGGTACTGGACTTGTCTAGGAGTATAGCAGCACTGACTTATCACATCGATAGGTCATCATTTTGAAGGACAAATATAAATTCAATTACCTCTGACGATGCTATGAATGGAATTGAATGCATGGTGCACTTTCAAAGTTTCATCAGCGCCAAGAGCTCTATCCTTTTAGTTCGATTGATTAGAGTTGACACGGCCAATCAACGATGGCAACTGTTGAAGCGTCGATTTGATGAGCAATATCGAACGGAAATGAAACGTACCAACCAAGTAATTCCAACGGTAAGGCGTTTTACTTTCGAACCCGCCTCCTTTTAATGTCAACTTTATCAATCAGTAACTGTTTTTTTAATGATCTAATTGATATACAAGGCCACAGGGTTCTCATGAAGATTTATTTGAGCAGCGTTTTGACGCTGTCGTCTCTTCAGAGCCGTTGCACTCTTGTCGATTGTCTGAAGAAGACGAAGATGTCGAAACGTTAGCCGAATAGATTTTTGTTTCAGTCTACTGGGTCTTTCAGTTAATAGAATTGAGTTTTCAAAGAAAAATTTCTCCTAAATGCTGGGAAAATACGATGTTTTGTGCATATCTCTTTGGGCTTACTATTTGGCAAATACAAATGGATAAGTATTTCTAGGATGTAGGTGAATGGGTGGAAGAAGAGGGGCCGAGAGGGTAACTTTTGAGACTACGGAATCACTTCAAGCATTTGACTCATATTACATTTTTTCTGCTCAGCAGTTTCATAGGTTCACCTTAATACCCATTGAGTGCGACTGACCCACAACGCTAGCCCCGCCCTGTCGCATGCGGTGGCTCGGTGTCGAGCGGTCCTCAGTGCCGAGGGTTGCTAATTTGATCCCCTGTCATAACGCTTCACTGTGGTTTTTTGATGTAGCCTTTTTGATTCCAGTACCCTCGTCAAATCCTGACAGATTATAGAAGAACCTTTAGCACTAGTCGGCACCAAATAATACCTACCAAAAGCTCCTATGGTGGAGGTTCAGTGGTTTTTGCTGTGTGGTCCCTGAATTTGTCTCAGGCAGTGACCCGATCGATGAATATTGTTAGATTGTCCTTAGCGGCGCACTGACTTTGTGCTGCACGCGTCGAACTTCCGGATTGCGGTGACTTTTGCCCTTTGAAGTGGCTGGTTGCACTTCCAAGTTGCAACGGGCTGAACTTTAGTTTGTGTGACCGTGTCTTCTGCAACTTGTCTCTTGTAATCAACAAGAGCACAAAGTTCAAATCCTTTATATGGGTTATACAAAACAATGTAGTGAAACCAAACAATGAAATGGTACCAACAAACAATGTGGTGAAACCAAACAATGCGTGGTAGCACTAAACAACCTATAATATACATACACTGCTGTAATAATATCTTAAGAACAATATACATACGGTTGCGTCATATCGTTATGTGAATATATGTCTGTGAATGTGATGTTTCGTCTTGTGACGATAATGTTGATAAGTGAATGTGATTGATGAGACGTATCGTCGTGTGACGATACCATGGATGTTGTTATAACGGAACATGACTAGGCGGCGGAGCCCGTTTGGGGTTGCTATGTTCGCCCCCAAGTAGAAGCACCGGCGGCGTGATCCAGTGGGTGAGTGTATAGTGTTAGCAGTGGGGTCACTACTGATTATATATAGGCAGAATCCCTTAACCGCGTTGGTGGGCCGACCATAGCCTAAGTGAGTTTGCTCCGCCACGTTAGTGATATGTTCCGCTCACAATTCTATTGAGTTCATCTGACAGTTATATGAACTCAACCTTATGATAGCAATTAGTTACATGATAACGAGACGATGTGGAGAGAGCAGTAATGAGTCGACAATGAACTGAGGTCACGTGGTCCGGGTGAGGTCAGACGACCGTTCGGATGATGCCCGGCGATGGAACTGCCTGTTGAGGTTGGTGGCAGCTGGGTGCCGCCCTCGCCACTTGGAACCATTTTCTGTCTAAGGTCCTCCAACCTCTGCGATTGCACTTGCTCTCTAAGGTAATGGACCATCTGCGTTGCCTAAATTATCATGTAATTCCCGAAAAGATAGCAAAGCTCCGTTGGGAGGTTTGCTATAACTCCTGCGAAGCATCGTGGTAGGGGGTAGAACCTGCAGCCTTTTTCCCGATGAACGGCAATGCAACGCACTAGCCACTGCGGACTGCTCTTCACCGAGCCATACGCGCCACGGAGTGGAGCTAGTGCCGCAGGTTTGTCGTAACCAAGATGCGTAAGCAGTGTTTAGGTGGCAGGCGATCTTGGTGAGATTTTTTTTTCCGTTGGTTCGTACTATGGCACACGTATCCTCGTCTGGATGTCAACGCACCGATAGGTTGTTCCTTTGGCTGCAAAAAATTTTCATTTTACGGCTCCAATAGCTTTGTCATGATCTCATAATTCACGTCTAAGGATACTGAGTTAGGTACAAATTTACAGTAACATACAATGAGACGTGTAAACCGAGTAAATTCAGCGGTGAGCCTTTCAGATAATGAAATTGAGTTCTCAAGGGGAATTTTCCATTAATCTCAAAAAGGGAGATAATGTCGATCTTATCAAACAAAACACGCCAACGGTTGGTTTTTGAGAGCTTCAATGCCTCATATCGAAGAAAGAGTGGTAGCTGAGTACTAACATCGACGGTGCATTGGTAGCATGGGCCTCTGTTATGGGTGAAACCGCGGTTCAATCCCCGTGTGAAGTTGAAAGTTTTGCATGTCACTCAGCAACCTTGTACATAATCACAAAATAATCAACATTTCTATGAATATAAAACGAATTTAGCGGCATTATTGAGACTTGTTTCAGGACTGAATCATCTATTGAAATCGCCGTTCTGTATCACCCGACGACGGGAAATGTTGCTGTCTCGCTTGATGTTAGCAAAATCAGTGAATTCGATGTCTCAGCATGTCCGCATGTTGAGTTAGTCTTTATATCTGACATTAAATTTTTTCGGCATCTTAATTTTTCTTTGAAATTTCTGCGCAGTACTGTGACTGATTGGGGACGCAGGCTGAGTGGATAGTGATGATCGGCGTGGCTCGACGCGCGGTTGACCCTAGCACTCTGACAGTCGATACCAGCCCCCTTGCAAGTAGGCATGCTCAACCAGTATTTTACACGTTCAAGAAGAAGGCCAATAAACGAACCAATTGCTAGAAGTAGTGGGATTGACACAGTGAAGGGAAAGACACTGTAAAGACAGATCAATAAGGTGATATCGAGTACGTCGAAATTTTTCATTT